TTCGCTGTTGGCATTGGCTATTCTCATTCGAGACTCATAAGCAGAGATTTTCGCGATGAGCGACTTAGATTGATAGAGGCGCGAAGTAGTCAGCGTGCGGATAAGTGGGACACGAATCGGGATTATTCGTCGATATCGTATTCGGGGATAGAGTCCATGTAAGAAACCGAGGCGATAGACGTCATTCCGGGAGTGTTGAGCGGGACCGTTCCGTTACAAGGTTTAACCGTGGCCCAATCAAGGAGGTCCCGGCTTCCATAGTTATATATCTATGGTCCGAGAGCGACTCCAGGTCGGCCTCCACTCTCCAAGCAGAGATTCTCCTTGCTGCAGCACCAGACGCCAGCGTGAGATTCACGCACGATACACCCGGTGGATGCACGCACGTCGGCACTATACCCTCGTTCAGCACCTGTAAATCCATGATCCCTATCCAATCCGACAGGATAGCTCCTCTTCTATTAGGGCGTCCAGGGTCCCATGCGTGGGCGAGGGCATTGAAGTCCCCCGTGATCACCACCGGGTAACCCCTTACTCCCAATAACTTACCCTCTAGTTCGTAGAGGTCTCTAATGAATTCAACCTCACTAAGACTGGGGGAGAAATAGCATGATACAAAAATCATATCTTCCCAGTCCACCGCCGCAAACCTCCTGCCCCTCCATCGAGGGGTGCACGGCACTCTTTTTGCCATGTAATGGCTGCCGAGGGAGGGTCATCACTAGAGGCTACCCAGCGGCCATTGTCTGGGATGCCATTGGGTTCCGAGATAGCCACTATCCCCAACCTGAGTTCCTCGCTTACCCTCGCAACCAAATCCTGGGATGGTCGCGACCTGTTAACATTTATTTGTGCTAACTTAGTCATTAGTTACCTCCATAGCAACCGGTTCATCAGCTGTTGTCGGAGCTCCCCGATTAGCCCCGGCTGATGCTTCCTCCGTGTTAACCACTCTGTCCCCACTATTGGCTATTTGTCCACGACCATTATATGGCACACACTCTGCCGCACCCGCGCGATGCCCCGATGGCAATCCTCGTCCCGCAAATACCGGACATTTCGGAGGCTTTCTACAGTCGGCCGCCCTATGTCCGTCATTGTCTCCACACTGGAAACACCAGGTGGAACGATCCACCTGGGTCATACAATTGGCTCTGGTGTGCCCCACAGCAAAGCAGCGGAAGCATTGCAGCCTCCGCTTTGCCAGGGGCACCACTCCATCCGACTCTTAGGCGTCCGTCACCTAAGAGCTTATTGGCGCATGCCAAAGGGCATTGAACCCACACGGCGTTGAGTCCCCCTCTCCCAGGTCTGAGGGGGCCAACTCTAACGTCTCCTAGCTGAGCCTGCCCATTCTTCGCGACTGCCTCAGCCACCTCCTCTGCCGTGACCGACTGGTCGATGTCAATGAGCCTCATCTCGGCCCTCCGCATCGGTCTGACGATCCTCACCTCTTCTTTATACTTACTCTCGGCGAGAACCCCCTTAAGTCTGTTCACTAGGGCCTCCGCTTTAGTCCCAGCCTCATCCCCACCTGGGATCTCGATCAAGAGACCTCCAGCTTGCGCCTTTCTAATGCGCGTGTTCGCTATGCTGAGGTCATCTAGTGAGATCTTGCTTCTAGCAAGTCTCATGACCTCAGCATATGTCACAGCGCCCAGCCTGTCCTTGTCCTCATCACATTTAATCAGGACCGCTGCCGTCCTTGGCGCCCTGAATTTGTTGTCCCTGGTCGGGGGAAGCCGCCGTACCACTTCTCCCGGGCCCCTCACACGGGGTCGGGTCGCAGCACTCGCGGAGGCGGGGCCTCTCGGTGCCCCACCACGCGCACTCACTCCCGTCGCGTTTTTGATCATGCCGGCCCGGCGCACTCCGGCAGAAGCGCCCCCTGCGGTAGGCGGGGGTAAAACAGCCCGTCCGTCCCGTATATCGGCACTCACTTCTGGGGCCGCTCTTGCCCTCTCCCTCTTCCTCATCCTTTTCCGCGCCCTTTTCGTTCTTGCCTCTGTCTATGCCTCGCCCTCGGCCGGATAGTCCATCGGAGGCAGCGGGCTTCCCAGGTCCCGGTCGCCCCTAGGCTCCGCTCCCCGGTTGTCGCTCATCGGCCTATTTCCTGTCCCTTCCATGTGCGCGTCCCCGCGTTTCCTCAAGGCAGATTGTCTTGTTTCTTCCGTTACTATATCGCTCCTCTCATTTACCGTCGTTAAACGAGGGGGCCTGTCCTCCAGTCTTTTGCGAACTCCAATCGTCGGTCTATACGCCGGGGGGAGACTCTCCGCTTCGTCTATATCCGTGTCTCTATTCCGCGCAGGACGTTCCTCTCTATTTCGTCCCCTGGTTCTGATTGGCGAGCCTGAGTCACGGGCTTCCTCATCCGAGGAGAGGACATAGCTCCTGCCGCGGCCTCGCTTCCTGTCCCTGTCCTTCAGGTCTTGTACAGTACCTTGTAGTGCCTTAATCTGTCCTCTCATTGTCTCTCTCTCTCTCTCTCGACGTAGAGTATCCACCTCTCGTCGGAGCTTGACGACTTCCCTTTCCAGGGCCTGATTATTGGCCCTGATCTCATCCGTTGGTCCCGTACCTTTAGCGATCTCAGATACCAGCCTTTGTACCGCTATCTTGGCCACGTTGACGCCTAACTTAATCTGACGCCGCAGATCACCCTTCATAGATTGCGTCCGCCTTTCGGCTTCACCCGCAGTCTCTAACACCCTCAACGGCCATCACCGATTTCGGAGACATTTGGGGGAAAAGGGCTGTAACCTCCTCCACTGCGTCCTTTTGACAGGATGTGAGTCTGTCATCTAGCTGACACTCAACCAGACCCTTTCTCTTCTTTAGTCCATGGCCGGGCCTCTTCGAAATCTTGAAGAAATCGACTCGGTCTAATTCGTCGTCCTCGTAATCCATTCTTTTGGAGGAGAGCTTCGTCAGCGCGTGGGCTCCTGGACAATTGGAGCCCTTCGGCTTCCGCCCCCTCTTCTTCCCCTTCCTGGGGACCTGATCAAAGGACGACGTCAGGTCGTCCTCTGTTCCCTCGGCAGGGGTAGATATCGTCAGATCTACCTCCGACGCTTCCTCCTGCTCCGTCTCTATGTTTATTACACTGGATGCGTTTGAAGCTGCATCACCAGCGTCGATCCCTACGCCAGAGCCGCTAAGGGCTGGTGTACCGGCTGAAACGCTCTCCGCAATAGGAGAGTTAACTATTTCTCCTTCCACCACCCTTATCCTCGTTTCCCGTGGGTATCTAATTGCCCTGGATCTTCCTCTTCTCGGGAGAGGCGCCTCCCCTCTCACCGAGACCGGCATCCTTCCCACGGGTCCTACCTGAGATGTTCCCTGTGATCGACACCACATTCGTCCTCTCCAGCTGCAGTCGTAACTCCTTCCGCTTCTTCTTGGGTGTCGTCCCAAGCTTCCCCTCCGTCTCTGCCAGAGTGAGTGGCACACTACCACCCTCTCGTGCTTCTCCCACCTCTTCCTCTTCCTTCCGGATGGTAGCAAATTCCGCTATGGAGCCCGTCGGCAACTCCACAGCTGGCCCTTCACTGGAGCCCCCCGGGCCCGAAGCCACAGGGGTCGATCGCCCGGGGGCAGGGACAGTACCCCCGGGAAACCGTGACAGGGTTCCGATGCCCTGTCGTGTTTGTTCACTATTCTTGTCCATTTCATATTTGTTCGTTTGTCGGCGAGTAATACGGCCAGGGGGCTCGCCGACAAATCCCCCCAGTTCGGCACCCATTCGTCCAACGCGCTGCGCGTCCTCTCCTCCGGTGTAAGGAACAAACAGCAAAAACTCCCAGGTCTAACCCACACACCGGAGGAGCGGAGGCCCGCCTAACAGGGCCATGCCCGGGCGATCACCCCCGACCTCCCCTCTCCTCTACTCCTGCCCGCACCACCCCGGTAGGCACCCCCGGCGGGAGGGCCCACCCGACCGAGCGACAGGGAACGACCCGTCTCACGTGGCTCCGTACCCACTCCCTGGGGAGTGGGACGACCAGGCGGGCGGATGATGTTAAAAAAGTCCCCTTTACTGGCATCCAGCGGAGGCGGACCGAACCAGTCTGCATATCCGCAGACCAGGGGCCGCCCCCGCGAGCAGCCACCCGGAAGAATGGGTGGCCCCACCGGACGCCCCACAGAGGCGCCCACTCCGTCCTCTCCGAGAGTGCACGGTCCTCGCCACGGTAAAACCGGGCTATCCCGCGCACTCTCCCACAGCCTTCGAACAGCCCCACGCCCGCCCCATGACGGCACGAGGCGCTGCCCTTGGACCGCG